AAACGACGAATTTTCGGCAGAAATAATCTTATTGCCTTATTGTTGGTAACGAAAAAGTGGATAAATCCTTTTCCTATGTATAGCTAAATACTTCCTCAACGTGGTGTGACTGGAATCTATGTTTCGTGGGTCTTTGTTACCGAAAAATCGATTGGCGGCTAAACGTCCGACCGTGGTCATTGCTAGCGCCGAAACAGTTCAGCCCGTTTTCTCCAAAATTGATACTCTCCGATCGATCTGAACGAATTCAAGGCTTTGTGAATTTCAAACGGATATTTTTATGTTTGAGGGTGTTTACATGAACCTCAACATTTTCAAAATTTTCTCAAAATTGCTCAAACATTTCTTCACTTTTATTAGCGTAAAAGACGCTTAAGAGAATTGTGCAGGTCTTATGTTCGTTGAAATCTACGATTTTTCGAAAATTGCAAAAGTTCAATTTGTTGGTGGCGTCTTCCTACAACTACAATATTGAAGTTCGAGATTTTTTCTGAAAGAAATGTGTTCTTGAAAGGCATCTTGAAATAAAGTCATGTTCGATTATTTGAAAATATTAGTATTTTTCTGAATTTTTGCGCAAAAAATGGGCAACGGGGACCTTTGCGAATCGTCGCCATCTAAAACATGCACTATGCTTATGGGACTAATAGCCTTAGCTGTTGAGCCTAGAATCATCAATCAATCAATAACTGGAACAGTAATGATTCTGGAGGGGGGGTAAGGCCAGCGGTACAGGACAGATTCAAATTTCCCTCGCGATAAAATAAATATATTGTAATTATTTTGAATGCGTAAATAAATACTTACATTATCTCTTGTGTGTAGACCGATTCAATTCCTTACGTCACAATATTATGAGAAACCACTCCTTGTGACTGTCACTAGTACAGTGAAAGCTGCGTAATCAAATTCACGCTGAAAGGTAGAATACCAGGAATTCCAAGGTAAATTTGCTTGGCTGAGAACATTGCTAAACAACACTAACTACACAAGAAAATGAGGAGCTTCTAATCGCTGGAGTCTGGTCACTTGAGCAGTTTCTCTTCGAGATAGTTACCGAGTACATTGCTGAAGACTAAGTGTCTGCACTCGCCAACTGAGTACTTGTCGATTGCGTTTATTTTCACTGAATGAAGTGTTCCTTTTGACGTGAATACGTAGGAACTATTTTGGTTATTTAAGGTCACATCAACTTCTCTAGCGACCACTATTGCGTGTAACGGTATATTAACTATGAGGATGACACGATATGATGATGATATGGGAGAAAGGACGAACACAATACCACCATGCCCGAGGCGAGACTTGAACCCGCAAGTAAGTACAGCGCAAACGTAATTATTTCATGTAATTCAAAAAAACGTTAATAATTTTCTCACCATTACTTACGATTTACTGACTATAAAGTCAATCAAACATAACTTTCCATGAATAACGACATATTTTTTTCACAAGTAGTACATGTGGGACTTTTATACAATTCCGATTCACTAATACTAAAAAATCTCAGGAATGCAAACACTAATTGCGGTCAGAACGGTATATTTGGTAATTGCGGCCAACTTGGTAAATATTATTTCAAAACAATTAGCTGCTCCCAGGTGTGCCTCCTAGTGGGCACGTTTAGTTAATATAATATTTACAATAAATGTTTGCGTTCACTTGGTACAAGAGTTATTTATGAAGTGTTATATTGATCGTACGCTACTTCGTACCTTGCCATCGCACATAAAGTTGGCTTTATGGGAGTCCAGTTATTACAGAAATTCCATCCAAGAGGAAATAAGGCTACCTGACTTGAAATTCATGAACATGAGTACTCTTACAGGAATATTTATAGATATATGGCGAACTGCCTGAAGCGTCGTGTATACGATACGTTTTGAAAGAAGTTACAAATTCCCAAGTTAAATAAAATATATTGAAGAAATTATACTAACAATTAATCGATATTAAAGTCATTTACATTCAATTTCGCAAATTTAATAAAAACTATTCAAATTTATCACAAAGATAAATAACAAGAAGAAACAGCTTGGATGGAACACGTAATACCACTCGAACCTTGAATATATACAAGTGAAACTACAAAGTCGATGGTCAAGCAAAGAATGAGACAGAAATTTAAGTCGGAAGAGACCGCAGGTTCACTATGAACAGCAAAAGGTACTGTGAGAATAAAATTTCAAACAGCGTCTTTTCATTTGTCTCCGACAATTATGGCAACACTCGCTACACCAGATCGCAATGTGCTCAAAACACACACATGTGATGAATACAACATCAGCTCATTGTGGAGACAACGCAACGGTTTCTCATTTTACTTTGTTTTATTGCCCGTTGTGCGTTTGCATGCCGTTCGCCGATCGCTCTCTTGTTTTGAATATTTCGGAGACCGCTCGCTACATGTAGTCCTGTTAATGAATTCTTGGAAATTCGTAGACGCGGACAAATATTGGATCAAATGTTCACTTAACAACGCACATCGCGGCTGAAAACGGGTAGGTTATTCGCCGCGAAATCAGCAGATCCGATTCTGTCGAGGGTGGGGAAAACCTAATTCCAAAAGACAGAAATCCAGAGTTCCCCAAACTGTACTTCCGTCATGCAAAGGAACCATAAATAAATACCAGAAAAAATATATTCTTCCACAAAATCCACTGCAATCATATTCCATACCCACTCAATGAGGGGATGACCCCAGTTAAGGTTAAACGAGACTGCTGTGGAGGCGCAGCTTGGAGAAGAATATGGAATTCAAAATTTGTTGGTAATACCGGGAGACCGTAGGAGCCAACATAAACAAGAAATGCTAAGCTTTTGGAGGGGTGAACCAATGGACAGTTTTCTAAAAGAGCCTGGACATTTTGTACGTAGTATAACAACAGTTAATGCCCCACGTATTGAAGAAAAACTTATCACTGTACATCAAAGCATGTTGCCGCTGCCATGTAACCGGCAACAATGAATTCTGGTATCACGGGATGCTGCGTTATCTAGTTTCGCGAAAGCACTGTAAACTGTGGCGTCTGTCACGTGTTGTTGGTCATGATGAACACTACCGTCTACACGTACGTAACATAGATCTTCACATTCGAGTTTACGCTTTACACCCGAACAAAGAGTAAATACCCAAATATCTTCCACAAACGTTCTAATAATCGCGACATACCGCACCCGGTAATATCATAGTATGCATTGATGCGGAACTTTTTTAATCGTTGATTTATTCAATGGATGTTCCCTACGCCCATTGTTCACGCATACATTTCCAATATATCGAGCACATATCATAAATGCTTGCCATTTTACAGTTTCTGGGAACTTTATGAATGTGTATCAAAAGTGTAAATGGAGAGAAATATTGTCAGCAGAGCAGGCCTACATAAGCCTGCTTGTGCCAGCATTCTGCACGCAAGAGCTGAATATCTGCCCCCCAAAGCGGCGAAAGTGCAAGTAGTGGGTGGTGAGGTGGGGTGGTGGTAACAGCTTTGCTGGAAGTCAAGCAGCTAGCTTGGCCGTGCCCCCGCGCCGACAGAGGACCCACAACAATCGGGTGGGTGACGCAACGGCGAAGAAGGGGAAGGGGGAGAGATGTTTTCGTAAATTTCCCTTTCGACGCTCCTATTCGTCCGATTTGCATGATTATTACGACGTTGGATTCAGGAAGCATGTTGCCATCGCGCTATAAGCCCACACTTTTTAATTTTTTCTCGGAAGTTTGAGAACTAATTTCAAATTCGAGATTTTGCTAGATTTTGGGAAAAAGGGCTTCGTAGCGTAAATTCTATTTTAAAAAGACGTCAAATGCCGTTTACAGATCGAAAATCAGACCATTGGTTCAGACGTTATCGGTAACGTAAATTCCCCTGTGATAGTGCTGCGATCTATTGAATTTTCCTACAAGTATTTTTCGGTGCATTTAGCCTTAAGAGAATAACGCATTTTCTCATATTCGTTGAAATCTCTGATAATTCCAAAATTGTAATTGTAAAACTTTGGAAGTAGTTTGTGATTGAAATAAAAGCAATTAAATAAGCATACGTACAATAGTGAATTGAAATATAATTGTATTAAGTGATGTCAATTTTTAAAGTAAGGTTTTCTATTTTTAAGTAAGGTCTTGTATAATTTTTGAAATATACGATTAACAGAAATCATGCAATAAATTTTAATCAGTTTCGTATTTTGGCGGTAGAACCCAAATCAAATATTACTAAAATATTTAAAAAATTCAATCAGTTTACGAAGGTTTATGACAACATACTACATACTTTTCGGAAATAACACCCTCCCCCTTTTTAAAATTGGGATCAATCATTTCTAAATTACATCCTTCAACTCTCTCCTCAGTTCCGTTATTCCTTCATCTTTGCAACGACTATTTAAACGGTTAGGGTCATGCGGTTGGACTCCACTCCATCACGTACTTAACCTAACCAGATATGTTTTTCTATATTTTGTATATATTTTGTATACGTTTGTACATCTATTCTGTTTTCAAGTATATAACAGGTGAGATTTCTTTGAATTGGGTACAGATTTAGTTGTTTTTTGTTGTAATTTTTATGTTATTCCTTCCTTTAATGAATATTACGAAACTCATTCTGGCTTCATTATTCTGAACTATTTTTATAAATAAACTTTCAGTCGTACCTAAGAGGCAGCACAGTGTCCAAACTCGTCAGAATTCATGAAATAAAATAAAATTATGAAAAAAAATAGAAGTATTAATTGTGGTTGTCCTAAATTTGAGAGAAGAACGGAAAAACATTAAAAATAGTTATAATACTGACAACCAATTTAAAACTTATAACTTATTACTTAAATATACGGTATTTTTATGTTGTTGTTTTTGTAATTGAAACACTGAAAATATATCGTTAGAAATAGACACAAATACCTTCGCAAATCAAAATAAAAGTAACCCTGTTTGACGACTATCATCTCCAAGACTATGCAAGAGACGTTAATGTTCAAGGTATAGGCCTTCATCGAGTTTACGATCTGATCAGAAGAACCATAATATTATGAACATTGAACTCAGCGTCTGGATTCAGAACCTACCACTTTCACTTCTCTCTCCTCAGCGAAGCGGGAAGGGCCGGTTACGCTAGCAATTTCTAATTTGACGTTTTCAACGCACTTTACTTACTTGAAGCGACTCTGCATCTGCAGTGCTCGTTCACGCACGGCCTGGATGAAGTCGTCGTGGCCGGCGATCTGACTGGTGACCACCGAGAACTGGTGCCACTTGTAGCGCTCCAGAATGCTCAGCATGGCGGCTGTCTGGTGCTCCAGAGAAGGCGCCAGCTGCAGATGCAGGTTCCACTGTGACGCACGCTGCAACCCAAGAGAGAAACGAGTCAATATACCAACCGCAAACCATGGTAAAATTAAGCGTAAGTAGAAAGATCCATACGTTTCCCGCCTAAACACCTTCGCACATGCACAAAATAGTTAATACCGTCACTGGGGGTCATACCGAGCAAGTAACAAGCGCAAATGTTTGTAAATTGAGGCGTTGAGATTCGTAACCAACTAAAACCGTTATTTTGTGTATCGGCCGAGTGACTTTCAATACGTTTCGTATTATCAACTTATAAGAAATTAGCAGAGCTCCAATAGCACGTACTTTCTTACCTTAGTAATGGTAATGCAATATAATACCACAATTTCTGTTCATACTCACCCATATCAAGAGATCACTGATAAAAGTCATTACTAGGGAGAGGATTTTTATGCCTTAATACATTGAAATATGCTCTTAAATAACTGCATTTATGGCATAAAACTTCTTAAATAAAAATTTAAATACGCAAAAAAAAGAATAATATTTCATTTCCTGCATAAACCTTTCTTCATAAAATTCAGGACAAGCATGATTGGAATGAAAAGATATATTTTTGTGCAAACAATATAATCTACCTAAATAATTGAAATCGAGAAATAATTGAAGTAAATATTCATCTTAGTGTGCCTTGTCGCATTTTTTCTGCCTGGTTTAAGCAATTAGGCTGTCTGGTTTAGCAAAGCATTAGCCAAATATGAGATCAAGAAATATCCATAATCTACGTTAGCATTTTATCATCTACACAAAGAAGAAAACGCAATACGCGCGTACAATTACACGCATATGCACCACCAGGAGAAATTAACCAAATATGCACAAATGTGCACTAACATTTTAAACTACATTGCATCCAATTCTAACAAAATGTAAGAAATTCAATCGAGATTCAATCAAATGTCCGTCAATGTCTTTAACCTGGTCTCAATATTACCACATTTGCTCCACACATAATATAGCGTAGACTCTTTTTTACCCAAAAATACCATGCAAATCATGTGTACAGAAAACAAAGAACCTTATTTAAATATTTTTAAAATTTTGGAAAAAATACAATTGTAGAAAAACCTACAACGTGCCGAAATGAACAAACATATAAAATATTTCTTTATTCTGAATATTTTCACGACGGTCCCTCACTCAACACAACCTTAGTAGTTGGGGTACAGTAGATATTTTAGCCTTAAATGGATAATACTCTCACTATTACAATGACCGCGTTACGTAAGTAGAGAATATCATTTATTAAGTATTATTTATATTTCATTTTTTGTCCCTATTAATGAACTGAGCATCTATTTTGAAATTGGCTATGCTTGTAGATGCCGCAGGTATAGCACCACTGAAGATAAGGAAATTCACTCCGAAAGTAATCTGGTAGTAAGATTGTACATGTAGTAATCAAGAAAATATTAATTACATTGTAATTGTGATTTTGTCAACGTATTCATCTTGAATAAAGTGATAAATTCTTAACAGTATAAAGTTTCATTAATGTCCAAATTCTCTCATATTTATTATTTCCATTTTTTTTGCTATTGCCTCTCTAACTTGATTAGGCAACTGATATTCATAAAGTGCGTGGTGGTAGCAGATATCTTGTGGTAATCCATAATATGGTAAAGGAAATAATTTCCACAAAAGTTTTCAATCAAAAAACGTTTGTGGAGATTATTTCCTTTACCATATGATATTCATAACGTGCTTGACGTTACTGTTTCTGAGATTTCTTTTAACTTTCAAGAATGCGTAATGAAACGGTAGAGTTAGGGTACATGGAAGAAATTAACACAATTTTCTACAATTCCATCCATGTACCTCATATCATCGAATATTATTAATCCAAATTCTTATGTGAATTGTTGTAAACCATATCTAATGCGAGAATGTCATGAACAAACATCGTTTATTACCATTGTTAGCATAGTGTTATTATCATGTTCAATTGTCCATGAGGAAATTCGTGTTCATTATCGTACTGATTCTATTGATAAAACAGTTTTATAAACATTTATGATTCTATATTCCTATCGTCATCAAAACATGTTAATGAAACTTGCGACATTAAAATACCTGCCAGCTATTGAATAGCTTTCCACAATACTGCTATTGTCCGGAGAAGAGCAATTGAATAATAGAATCGAGAATTTCATTACCTTTTACAGGAATGTGGTGATAATGGAAATGCACCCACCCATTTGTTATTTTTTAAAAGACCACATTGTGTGTAAAGAGGGTTTGCATTTAACTAAATTTTGCTCTAAATGTCACCCATCTATTGTCATCAGTGCTTTGAATGGAAAATTATTACAATTAATATCAAGCGACAATTATTTATTTATTTTTATTTACCACAAAAAACCGATTAGACTTTAATGTGGCAAATGGGGTACAAGTAAAATCTGAAGACTTTTTTAATTACGTAATCTTGAACATCGCTTTTTACTTTCTTGCATACTACTTACGTACTCTAGACAATGTAATGTAATGCTGCAGCGATTTTTAGACAGCAAAACTCGTATTCTGGGTGCCTGATGTCGAGAAAGTGAATAAACCTTGTTCCTATATGAAGTACACTCTCTCGAACATTGACAGAATCCATGTTTGCTGGATCGTTTAAAACGAAAAATTGGCTGTCGGGCAAAACGTCTGGTCGTCTGTACGCACGTCTGTACTGACGTCCGTCCGTCCGTGTATGTTCAACACCAGAAGCTATATTGTTCAGATAATTTTCTCCAAAACTTATTTAGCAATCCGATCTTACTCAAGGCCGTGGGGATTTGGAATGGATATTTTGAGGGTTTTTTTTCACACGAAGCCATAAGAACAATTCAAATTTTTTTTCAAAAATAGCTTTGATTTTTTTCTATTTTGATAGTGCAAATGATGCCTGGAAAATAGCGAAGAACGCGTTGGCCTAGTTTTCGTTACACACTGAATTTTGGAGGATTCGTAATTCATAAATAATTCGAGAAAAAATACGTTGTTGAAAAACCACGAGTTTGTTTTACTATGTTATATCATGAAAGAGAGAAAGCAACTTACGTTTCTGGTAATATTTGATAACAAACACTCTTCGCTCTCGTGAAATGAAAATTATACTAATCGGCACACGAGCCAGAGATTTTGACCTCCCATTCTCCCTTATTGTCCCTCAGGTAAAGAATCCTAATCAGTCTAGCAAACTTATGAAGAGCGATTTGATGGTGCTGCTGACGAGATAAATACATTCCCGCTCTCACTCACAGATAAAAACGTGTACGAGCTATATGGATGCTACAATTTACTTCCTACTTTGCACATGCAGAGAAAAATTAAATGGTGACTTTTTGTAACTGATGACTTCAAATATCACGTACATTTTATAGTGTTTTTTCACTTAATACTTACGTCACTAGGCCGTTATAGAGTACATGAGCAACAGAGTCTGTTTTTTGTGTGTCGTTTAATACTTCTCTCATCCCCGTTTTCTAATAAGGACAATTTGTGCTAGTGGTAAATTGTAAAGGTGACGTAAATATTATTTGAAACCGCCGAAGTGTTTCCATCCCGGAAACAAAATATTTGCCACACTAGGATTCGAACTCGGGGACTTTGGCTTTGCAAGCTGTAACAGTAATACCCCCTACGCGCACTGGGTTAGTCGACATAGCCTTCCCGTTGCTTTACAGAGAGTGCTCGCAATTTTAGAAAATTTATAGATTGTAATGCAAATGTAATGCTCGAATTATTTGAGTAAACGAATTAAGACATATTTGCAGATTTCAAAATCTTGGCATATCATTTTTAAATTAGTCACTTTTAAACTGAAATTTGCGCAAAAAACTACTGATTTAAAAAAATTGTAGATGACATTATATCATGACATAATTCTGAAGAATAATTTTCAGAAACATGTAATTAAAATCATGTACACGTTTCCTTGGTATAAGTGTACTCGCGCGCTATATTAGGCTGCTAATTTGATCTGTTTGCACTTAACGAATGGCGGAGTGTTAAGTCCAAAACACGCGCCATCGTTAAGATTGGTTTTTCGTTTCATTGGTTGCGTTAAGCTCATATAAAGCCACAGTGATGAAAAAAACAACTAATAAATAAACATTTAAAGCATAAGCGTCATTAGTTGCGTTCATTTTCACACGTTCCTCAGTAGCGTTTACGTAAAGTGCTCCCTTGTTCGGCACCGGGGCACTCTGATGGGCTAGCAGGCAAGGAGAGCGCAAAACCGCGCGAATATTGATATTCCAAAGTTCATGTACGAAGCGATCAAGTTTTAGGTTTCGTTTTAAATAGGAATGTGTCATCGA